ACGATCAAAATTCGAACTCACTGATTGGTTATTTCCTTTTTAGGAGTTTGTATTACCGGCACAAATAAGTAAAGCCCTTGAGAGAGGCCTAAGTAGATGTTATAAATAAGGCGTGTAACATCATGTTACAATTAGATTCGTCCTAAATATATAATCCAAATTTTATTTTTATAATTTCAATATATATATATATATAAAAATTAGTTATCGCAGGTTTAATTATGCAAGTTACCAACAACTTGGTACAGTAATTTACGATAAATTACGGTAATTTTTTTACAACCCTGCATGAGCTACCATATAATTTTGAACAATTTTGAGAAACATGTATTAGTTTCGGCCTATTCTTCCTCTGTCATTTGGTCGATCTTTTGAGTTTTGGTTGCTCGGCTAATTTATTCGAAAATAGATAAACGTTCGTACGTACGAAAAAAATTGCATTTAAACAAATATAGATTTATTTTATTTATAGTGATAGTGATAGGCCGACAATAAAGCTTTTCGCAGTTCCTATTGGTCGCGGTGTGGTCAAGTGATGAATATCACCATGTACAATAGGAAAGTGGAGGCAAAATTAATATATAAATTTAGGAGGAGGATATTTATGTAACATAAAACCTTATTTTTGTCAAGAAATATATAATTAGAAATTCCTATTTGTAACATTGAGATGAACTTAAGATGTGTAATGGTGACGTCAAATAAAACAAAAAAGGTTTCTATAGGATATATATTACATAAATATATAATATATACAAGTATATAATATTCATGATGTTGAGCTTTACCAATAAATTGTCATTTCTGACGTTTCACAAAAAGAAATCTGAAAATCTATTTATTAAGGATTTCGTGCAAATGATCAAGACAACTAGTGAAGAAATAGAATCTAATTGGCAATCAATGTTCTCAGCGAATTAAAAAGTTAAAAAAATTTTGTTTGAAACAATAAAATTGCCAATCATGCATAATAACCATGTTTGAAAACAAGATTTCGCGTGAAACGCCATCATTTATGCATTGCCGTTATCCACCAATACTAATACATATGCATACATGATTGCATTTAAACATTTATGCGTAAAATTAATGCTTTGAAACACCAATAGAGTAATTTCTTTTGCATAAAGATAGATTCGGGAAATGATTGTCGGATTTTGAAATTTTCTTTATATTAGAGTTTACATTTAAGAAAATTTTCCTGTTTTTTTTTTTCTGTAAATTTCGGTATTATCTAATATATTTTTATTTAAGCATTAATAAAAAATCAATAGTAAATTTAGCATCCATGCATAAATCCGAAACATTTTAAAGTTAGATCATACAAGAATATATAGAAATACGTTCTTGCAATTTACATTCGGTGAAGATTTTTACGCTTCATGAAATATCTAAAACCTTTAATCATATTTAAACATTTCATTTTACAACACGTAAATCATGGTTCGAGGTCATAATTTATCCATTGACACGGTTGCCGCTTCACGTGCGCAAAAAGTTACATCAAAGTCCTCCCGTCAGAAGGGAGCTGGATCAGAAGATGAAACTGATGATTATGATGATGATGATGCAACTTTAGTAGATAACAGCGAGAATCATTCAAGCTTCGATGATGACGACTATCTGACTTCTTCACCTTCAATTATTGAAGAAGAAATTGACTTTAGTCTAGTCTATGCCTTACATACCTTTAATGCAACGGTCGAAGGTCAAGCTAACGTTGTGAAAGGGGATTCATTAAGTTTGTTGGATGACTCAAATAGTTATTGGTGGCTAGTTAAAGTTTTACCGACTGATGAAATTGGATATATACCTGCTGAAAATATTGAAGTATGCGATAAAATTTCTTTGTAAAGCTTTATCCGCTTATTATCTAATTCATTCACGTGATTTTGTGATTTTGCAGACACCATACGAAAGACTAGCAAGATTGAATAAACATCGAAACATCGGTGTAAGTGAAATTCTTCATGATATATTGTTAGTTTACACATAAAAATTAATCCTTTAATACATTTGAATTAAAGTTAACATCCTCACAAAACAATACTGAATCGGATAACTCGCTTTCTAAAACTTCAACAAGTCAAGTAAAGGCCGTAACTTTTGCATCTCCATTATTTTTTGTAGCAGAGACATCCGATGACGAAGACGGTGAGGATGAAGAAGAAGAAGAAAAGGAAAACTATGTGGGTAGAATCGAAGTGACTACACAGTCAGTTGTACAGCATGAGAAAATAACTGATGCACAATTAGTAAATGAACCAGAAGAAATAAAATATGCTGATAAACAAGTAATAAATCCTGAAAGTAATCATTCTATGAGTCAAGAGAATAATAGAGCATCCAATAGCTCCGATAGAACATTTAGTTCAGAGAGAACATATAGTTCCGATAGAACATCCAATAATTCAATTAAAGTAACAGGAATTGAAACCGTTGAAGTAAATGTTAAAAGAACGGATGATCAACAATATGAACAAGAAATGAATCAACAACATAGACAAGAGAAGAATCAACAAAAACAAAATAAACAATATGGGCAACCACAATCAGTGATATCACAACAAAGCGATGATATAAGACATTCATCACAACGGTCACAGGTATACCAAATAAAAAAACAATCTGGACAATTAGAAAATAATTTAACATACGATCAATCAACGCGTAATCCTAATTCCTCGAACCATAACATTCAAGATGTTATAGATAACAAAAGTGAAACAATTAAAATGTCATTAACTCCAGCTTTAGGTAGTGACTTCATTGATTTCTCGGATGAGGAAGATGAAAAACTAAAGACAAGACCCAGTAGACCTCTCGAAAAAGTTGGTAATGATAATGAGTTTACAAGAGTTAATATAACATCCAGTGAATCCATAAAGAGTGCAGAGGTACCAGATGATAAAAAATCCGGGAGATCAAAGAAGGAAGAGAAAAAGAAAGAAAGTGGTGGTATATTCAGGAACTTCTTTAAAAGGAAATCAAAGAAAAAGGAAGAAGAACCTGTCAAACAGGTTTCTCCTGTGTCGACACCTGTATCGACACCTATGGCTGACAATGTTAGACGAGGTAATCAACCGTCTTCTTCCGCACCACCCCCACAAAATAATTCCAAAGCTCAACGTCCCAGTCCCTTGACAAATCAACAACAGTCTCAGTCACCGCAATCTGGTTCTTTGTCAAATCGATCATCTCCACAGACTGGATCTATAACAAATCGTTCACAATTTCAGCAAGTTGGATCTTTACAAAATCAAAGTCAAGGCCAACAGCAATCACAAAGAAATCCAATCACACAACATCAGATAGATCCTCGATCACAGCTAAATCAATCTCAGAAACAATCACAAAATCAATCTCAGTTTCAACCTCAGTTACAACACCAACCTCAAACATCTCCAAATTTACAGCAGCCCCTGTCACAGCATCCAAAAGTTCAACAAGTATCTGTTAGTGAATCGCCAATTCAAGTAATTCAACGTGATTCTGGCTCAACTCAAACTTTACAGGTTTCTGCACAAGATGCAGTTCAATCAATAAAAATAAGAAGTTCTCCATCTCCTATCCGAGTTGTCCAACATACACCATCTGAAAGATCAATTACTCCTTTGACCCCCGTTAGTCCTTTTTATAATGTAATTCGAATATTTGCTGGTCAAAATATTTCATCAAATGAAGAATCAAAACTATTTTTATTAAGTCCGACCACAATCACCTCTGCACTCATTAAGCAAGCATTACACCGGTTTAAATTGGATGATGTAGAGGATTGGGAAAGTTATTATATAACGATCAAAGAAACTAATAAAGGTAATTTAAATTTTAAGAAAAAAAAAAGATGTTTTTCGTAATGGTTTCTAATATAAATATCAATTTTTATTATTCTACATAGACCATATTCAATTAATGTCTGACGATCTTCCACTTGAAGTCTTTCATTCATTAACATCTGTCACATTACCTTCAATCAGAAGGGGTTCTGTCGGATCTATTTCTTCAACTACCTCAAATTTATCTGATATCAGTGTAATCAAACAATTAGGATTACAGGATGAGAAAGACAATATTACCTTCTTTTTAAATAGACGTTCAAAAAGAGGCAGTCGATCTTCAGGCGAAAGAAAATTACGTGTACGAGTGTTGGTTTATAATGATGATTTACCTATTCACTTAAGGAGCAACAAACAACACGTACCAAGAACTTCCATGTCTGTTCCTAAACATCTTGCTGAAAAAGCTACAAGACGACGTTCAAGAGAAGAAGGTAAACCCAGAGAAAAGGTTGTTATAGTTTCTGGACTTGCGACTGTTAGGCAAATTATCGAAAAAGCTATGGATAAGTTTGAAATTACTGATGGTATTGTTGATGATGGTAAAAGGATTTCAGATACTGATGATAAACCACGATATCAGTTAATGGTTATTGTTGATGGAGAAGGTAAGAATATCTTCATTCTCTTATCATAATTTAGGATTTACTAATATTGTATGTATTTATATGTTTGTTAGAAAAACTCCTTCCCTCCGAAATAAATGTTATTTCGGTTTATCCAACGGCGCCGAAGCTTCATCATATATCGGTAGATTCCGTGGACTCATCTTCATCTTTGGCATTAGATTATCGACCGGATGAACCAATGTTCGTTCTAAGACTTTTGCGACCTGAGGATCGTCAAACACGTGCAATGCCTGCGGCTTCTAATATAAACCAATTTACTCAAAATTCAAAACTTCTAACACCAACACGTACTTTGAATAAACAAGACGAACGAAAAACCAATGATACAATAAATACACGTAAACAGCTTATCGAGCAGCAACGTGAACACATTCGTGAACAACAAAGATCTATTCTTTCTGCGCATAAAAATGCTTCACAGGGTATTGATATTGTTACGAAAGCTGGTGCAATTCGAAGTTCTCGTATTTTTGGTGCCAAAGTTCGATATTCTTTTATTCCAACAAAAGGAGAAGAAATCGATATTAGTGATCTTATTGAAGATATTTTGGGTGATGATGATGAAATACTAAATTTGGATGAACAAAGCGACTCATCCTTTAATGATCCTTACCATGATAAACAAAACCAAAAGAAAAAGGATCAATTTCGTAAAAGCACAACACAAGATGTAGATGTTTTAGTAAAGATGGTAACTAGTGCACATAATAATAATGGAAATGTTGTAAAATCTTTCGAGGAAAGGATTGAGCGTGTTCTACAACAAGTTGATCGATATGGTAATGGCATGGTGCCAAATCTTGCATCTGTTTTACGTGAAGCATCCGAACGATCATTACAGCAAAATCCAATTAACAATTCACAAAAAAATGTACCAGTACTTAATGAACGTTCTAATAGTTTATCAAGTAGTTGGTCTTTTCCATCACCACGTTCTACCGCTACATCCGATGATTTTAATAATGATTTTGATGATGAAGACAACGATTCAGTATCAGAATTATATTCTTCACGATTTAAAAATTTACCATCATTAACAATAGAAAGATCACAATCACAAGAGTCTCTTAATCGAACCCCCCATAAATCTAGACAAAGATCATTCTCTTCTGCATCAAACAATTCCATAAACACTAACACTACCTTAGATTCAATAACACAAACAGGAAACCACCTTCCATTACTTAGAAAATCATCTACTGCCTCTTCATTTACAGACAGTGATTGGATATTAACGGATGACTTTGGGTTACAAGAATTATTAATACTTGTTAGATCCGGAGTAAATATGTTAGAATTAAAAGAAAGGAGAAGAAGTGGATGGCAAATACATGAGGATCCTGAAAAAATATTAAGTACACTTAAACTCACAGATATTAGAAGTGATATTAAGAACGTTTTTGATAATGTTAACAATGAATTGGACCAATTAGAACAAGTAAGATCTAAATTTTAGTTTCAAAAGCTTAATTAGTCCTTTTATTAATGGTTTATAAATCAAGGTTTTACCCTGTATTAATCAAGATTTTTTTTAACACAGGAACTCGATCAACTCATGGGCGATGCTATAAAGATTTTCTAGTATTAAATGATTTGGACAATAACAAAAATACTAAAAACACCAAAATTAAAATTAAGCTGTTATCCATTTGGTCATGTCATTTTTAATAAGCAACTTGTATAATAATTATATGTACTTCATAAACTTAATACTGTATCGGGTGTATAAATATTATCAATATTAATAAACTTAAAGGATAAAAAATTGTGATTGGCTACAATAATGAGAATTTCAAAGTTCCTTATTGGTTGATCATTCTAAAAAAGATTTATGTTATTAATTCTAACAGAATTTTTTTTGGTTTAATACAATAACTCTTTATTATACTCGCGATTCCCATTTACTAATTTATCTATCAAAATATTGAACTGAAACAATAATGCAGTAAACCATAAAGTGGAGGATACAAACCGAAAACTAGTATTCAACAGGATCATCTTTGCTATCAGCGAGTTCTTCATTGGCTGCTGGTTCTTCAGTGTTGATATTCCCTTCATTATTACTTACCGTAGTTTCCATGGCTTCGGCAGCCGATGACTCTTTAGTATGAGCATCATTTTCAGTACTCTCTTTTGGTGATTTATTTTCATCTTTTTCCTCATGTTTATCAACTTCCATCTTATTTTCATCACGTGTTTTACCAGATTTTTCATTTTGATTACGCCCAGTAATTTCAATTTCAAAATCATTAATGATACTGCTCTCTTCAATTTTCCCACTTTCATTATAAGATATTAATGACGATGATTCTAATGCCACTTGTCGTTTCTGTATTGCGATAGTTTGCACTACAGACTGAGACATTTTGGCTGGAAGATAATATAGAGATGGCTGTGTGTTTGTACGAAGAAAATTGGCAAGATTCTTTTTTTGCGTCGCCCAGCAGACTCTCTTATTGTGATTAAATGACAATTAATAATTGCAATCACATTTCACGCAAAAAATAACTTTTATATTTAGTCCTTACCGCCTCATTTGTTCTTTTTTCTTCAGCCTCTCTCCTTTCTCTGACAATTCTTTCTTTTCTCTCTTGTTCCTCCCTTTTAATATTTTCCACCAATTCTTCATGCTCCTTTTTTAGCTTTTCTTGCAGTTTTCGTTCAATTTGTTCACGTTTCATCTCCTACATCATCAACAAACAAAACGACTTAAATGATAAGATTCATTGATCTATAACTCATGTAAAAAATAAAAAATAAAATCTAAAGAGTCGTACATACAGCCTCTGTTTTATTCTGGCTTTCATTTTTAAATTTTGTCAATGTATCTAATAAAACACCAAACATCTTTTTACTTCGTTTTTTTACTTCTTTGTTATTCATGTCTAATCGAGGCCTTTTTGTCTATTAGTTGCATAAACAAAATTTTGATTACCATTATTACTATCAAATGTCATAGAC